TGGAGTTGGAGTGTGTGTGTTGGGGGACTTTCCTTAACTCTGCAACCCCCAGCCCCGAGGTCAGAGAGTTGGGACCGGGGCCAGACTCATCTCAGGCCCTGGCACGGCCCCAGGCTCCAGAACCCCCAACCCACTTCGGGGGTGGGGGACGCAGGGGTCTGTGTACCATAGTGATAGATCAGGGAGTGCTGGAGAGAACCAGGGGTTCGTTTTTCCCACAACCACAAACGCATTTCTCAAAATGGAGCCGCTTGCCCCTCCTTCTCTCTTGGGCCTCAAGAGCGGGAGCCAGGCTGGCTAGGCCTGGCTTTCCAGACTCCTGGCCCTCAGAGCCCAGCTTTACGTCCATCTGGCTTTAGGGGCCCTTGCCTGCGTGGCTTCAGCGACTCTAACTCATGAGCCTGCCTCTAGCTCCTCGTGTCTGAGCCTCTTGGCTTCTTTGTCTCTTGACTTCTGGTCTCTGTCTCTGAGTGACTACAGCGGCCCTTGCCCTTGCTTCTGGGTCTCCCTTTCTGTGTACCCTGGAGTGGGGAAGTCCGAACAGGAGTGCCGGCCCTTTCCCACTCCTCTCTCCGTACTGTGGAGCAATCTCTACCCCTGGGCTGGACCTTGTGGGGGCAATCTCGGCTCCTAGCCCTACAGAATGTGTGATCGCTCCTCAATCCAGTTCACCTATTAGCCTAGCTGCCAACAACTCCTCCCTCAGGCTGGACTCCTGTGATTCTCAGTGTCTTAACACTTGGGGACACTTAATGGAGAGCCGTATAAGCAATACCAGATGGGGCTGGGGGGGGGGGTCAGATACTGTGAGCTCACCTTTCCTCAAACTCTTACATTTAAAAAAATAAAAAAGTGTTTAAAAAAGTGGGGGAGATGCTTCCATTCACCCAGGTGGTCTTGAATGTCACCCAGGTCCCAACCCACCCCCAGAAATGCTCACTCCTACAAATTACTCCAAGTGTGCCTTTCACACACTTGTGTAAGATATATACACAGTAATTCATGTAACTGCCCTAGAAGAAAGGAAGACGTTCTGAGAGACACTTGTCTCTCAATCTATGAGAGGCTTGAAACAGTGTACCCCAAAGGAGTGAGGATTTCCCTAGAAATTTCATACTCAGAAAAGAAAACAGCTTATTGAGGAAAGGTGACTTCAGATGACTTGGTACATAGACAGTGACCCCCAAGTTTGGTGATATTCACACAAAAACTCAAATGTGGACAAACTAGTATGTGGACAAACTAGTATATCTCTCCAAACATTTTTTTGTCATATAGTCACATTCAGACCCCACAGATTCATTTATCACGTATACATTAATAACCTTTATGTACTTTCTAAGTCTGTAAACAGGAATTCACACAGAGCTGGGCATGGTGGCACAAGCTTAGAATCTCAGCACTCGGAAAGCTGAGGCGGGAGGATCCATGACTTGGAGGCCTGCCTGTCTCAGTCGTGTCTCCCACATGGCACACACATGTGTGAATGTCCTGATGTCTGTCTGAGCACACATCTATTCACTGCATATTTTTGTGCACATTTTCACAATTAAGGCTCATTTTTTGTGCTCCTGTACATGTATTCACACTCACAAGTAAATGTACACACTCTTCTGGAATCCTCTGTCCGCTTCTTGGCCCCTCCACTTGATGACTTCAGCAGATGCCTAAGTCTTGGTCATCAGCAGGCTTGGGACGGGAGGGAGATCCGGGTGGAGGCTTGCTGTCCCTTCCAGGAAGGAGCAAGACTAGGGTAGGTGGAGCCATCTTTCTTGAGATCCTACCAGAAGTGGTAATGGGCTTCTGCTCAAATCCCATAGGGGTACCCTGAAGACTAACTAAAGCAGCAAGGTTTGTAAAGCTTGACATTCGGACAGGGCCCATGTAGACTCCCTTAGTCCTAACTGAGTGGATGGCAGAAGCTAGGGGTTGGCATGGAAACAAGCATAACCAGCATCAACCTCTGGGAGGTAGGAGACCCCAGAGTGCACCTGTGGGTTCCTAAGACCTGTCAGGTTTCCTGTTTGGCCAGCTCCACCCCTGCCGCCTCTGTGTCTGGGAGAAACTGAGGCCTAGCAGTGGGAGGCTGGACACGGCCTGGCTTTAGCTCTTTGTTCCCTAATTACCATCTGAGTTGCTGATTGCATCCCTTATGTGTCCTCTGCCCAAACAGCCCAGTAATGAGGCCACCTGTCCCAGGAGAGTAGGGACCTGTACTGGGAGCTCATAGTTGGGATCTTTACCCAATCCGAGTCCTGGCCTTTATAGGGGGTGCAGGTTTGGGCTGAAGGCTGGGCCTTCCCTGCCAGGGAGCCTGCATAACCCAGTACGTCTCTGGTCCTTCATCATCTCGGTCCAGTTATTCCTTATCTTTGCCCAGACTAGAGTTGGGTAGTGGTCTAAGGGCCAGGGGAAACTGAGGTTCATGCCAGTATCTGGAAAGGAAGCCTTGATACGATGGTGGGAGTGTTCATCTGGAGGAGGGGGTCAGGAAAAGGCCTGTAGGGGGAGAGTACTCAGGTGCAGGGACTCTGACACCGATGCCCTGCTCACAGGTTGCCCTGGAGGCCCCTGGCCAGGCCTGAGCCTCAAAGGCCTGTAGGGGGAGAGTACTCAGGTGCAGGGACTCTGACACCAATGCCCTGCTCACAGGTTGCCCTGGAGGCCCCTGGCCAGGCCTGAGCCTCTGCCACCATGGCCATTGTGCACACTCTGCCAGTGCCACTGGAGCCCGCACGTGAGACAGCCACTGCCCCACAAGCTCCAGCAATGGGCAGCGTGAGCAGTCTTATCTCAGGCCGGCCCTGTCCCGGGGGGTCTGCTCCCCCACGACACCATGGTGTCCCTGGGCCCACCTTCTTCCGCCAGCAGGATGGGCTGCTACGGGGTGGCTACGAGGCACAGGAACCACTCTGCCCAGCTGTGCCACCCAGGAAGGCTGTCCCAGGCACCAGCTTTACCTATGTCAATGAGGACTTCAGGACAGAGTCACCTCCCAGCCCAAGCAGTGATGTTGAGGATCCCCGAGAGCAGCGGGCACACAATGCCCACCTCCGTGGGCCCCCACCAAAGCTCATTCCTGTCTCTGGAAAGCTGGAGAAGGTAAGGGCCAGCCCTTTGGGGATGATCTGTGTGGAATCAGGAGCCCCTTAGGGAAGCTAGAATTTGGAAGCATATACAGAGCAAACGACATGCGCTGTCTCAGCTCTCATTCCGACTCAGGGAAATAGCAAGCTGTGTGAGCCCCATTTTCTGTGTATAAGGTCATAGGCTTATAGTTATACTTAAGGGCATAGGCTAATCTTCGTAGGCTCCTGTTAGAATTAGTACTTAGTATAGCACCCAGTACCGCCAAAAGAACAATATTAGTTGCTTCAATTATTACTTTTTGGTTCTTTTGAGACAGGCTTTCTCTACATAGCCCTGGCTGTCCTGGAACTCACTATGTAGACCAGGCTGGCCTCCAGCTATCCACTTGCTTCTGCCTCCCAAGTGCTGGGATTAGAGGCATTCTCCACCCTGTCTAGCCTAGTTTTTTCAATTCTTATCACACAGATGTGAGTGTATCTTTGGGCAAAGCCTTTAACTTGACTGGGGCCTATATTTGCTCATCTTTTAATATGAGAAGAGGATAATATTTTGCTCGCATGGCTATTGTAATGATTAAAAATGAGCACTTTGAATTACTTAAGTGGGAGCAATGAAAAGTTTTTAATTTTTAGGGGTTGAGGATCCTGTGTGGGAAGGTGCAAAGTCTGACAGGGATTTGAAAGATCAGGGTTTGGGGAGATGGCTCAATGGGTAAAATGCTTGCTGCCCAAGCATAAGGACCTGAGTTCAGATTCCCCAGTGTCCTGTAAAGAAATGGGCACTATGGCACAGGACTGTGATCTCAGCACTTATGGGACAGAGACACTCAGATCCCTGGGGCTTGCTGGCCAGTTGGACTAGCTGAATTGGTAATCTGGAGGGTTACCAATCAGAAAACGAACCAAAAATTGGGGGGAAGGTAACTGAGGAAGCCTCCTGACTTTGACATCTGGCCTCCACACACAGGCTCCAGTGTGCAGACAGGCACATATTCATGCAGGCACACACATTGATGAGTGGTTTTGAAAGATCAAGCAAGCATGCTGGGCATGGTATCTCACACCTGCAATCCCACTGCTTCAAAGACAGAACCCTTGTATTCTGGGCTAGCTCTGGGGGTACATGGTGAGTTCCAGGCCAGTAGAGTAAAACCCTTTCTCAAGCCAACAAGAGTGAAAATTTTTTTTTAAAAAAAGTGGTCATGCAGATCACTCTCACATGTCACCTGGTGCCTCATTTCAGAACATGGAGAAAATCCTGATCCGGCCAACAGCCTTCAAGCCAGTGCCACCCAAACCTCGGGGAGCACCATCCCTACCTGGCTTCCTGGGTCCTCGAACTGCTGGCCTATCTGGGAGTCAGGGCAGCCTGACCCAGCTGTTTGGGGGGCCAGCCTCCTCCTCCTCCTCTTCCTCTTCTTCCTCTGCTGCTGACAAACCCTTGGCATTGAGTGGCTGGGCCAGTGGCTGCCCATCGGGAACATTGTCAGACTCTGGCCGAAACTCTTTATCCAGCTTGCCCACCTACAGCACCGGAGGTGCTGAGCCAACCACCAACTCCCCAGGTGGCCACTTGCCCTCCCACGGCCCCAGCCGAGGGGCACTGCCTGGTCCAGCCAGAGGGGTCCCTACGGGGCCCTCCCACTCGGACAGTGGCCGGTCCTC